TTATTCTAGGAGCTACAGATGCCCGACGCCACTATATTGTCGGACTCTGTATACCTAATAAACCTAACACTTTTTCAACTCCCTTTAATTTTCCCTTTAAAGTCTGTCCATCAGTCCAGTGAGTCCGGGAAGAATATCGTCAAAAAACCAATTTACCATCCAAACAATTATTCAAAATACAATTTTCCTGCGAATTAAAATGCCATTTTTGTCTTCCGTTGGAGAGTACTAGTGCACACAGGACTTAACAATAACTGCAAGTTGAAGATTAATGCTTTACGGTAAAAAAATATACCACATCATTTAGCGCAGCTGCAAATATTGTAGAAATTGATATATTTTGTACATAATGTCGGTTTTGATTCTTTAATTATACAAAAATATATAGAAAAATAAATGAACAGAAAACATTATTTATGTTAACAAATAACTTGTGCAGTCAAGGAGTGATTTTGCGTGAACGCATCACATCTAAAATTTATAAAATCACAGTATATACTAAAAGTTATACTTAGTACTTAAAAAATCATGATATCGTACTTCTTCAACGCTATTTGAACGAAAAACGTACAATGAAAAGAAATGTGTTTGTACGGATTTGGAATATGCCATTTGATTTAGTATCCAAATTTATGAAGGGCATAGTTCGGAAACTATAAGTCCGGGAACAAAAATGTATAGAACCATTTTTATAGAGAATTTTGTCAGCTTCTTTTTTATATATAGAGCATTTTTCGGTAGATGTCATAGTTTCCGAGATATAAGCAAGAAAGAATGAAAAAATTGACACTTAACTCCTTCCCACTCCTCGAGCTCATCGTCTATCTTCGGGGACTTTTAACACATATAAGCCCAAGTCTAGAGAAATCGTTTAAAACCATTTTCAAAACTGTGAGAATTTTTTCCACCGATCGAAGGGCCTTTTTTTAACTAATTTGACTGGGGTATCTCGTTAGACAAACTTTACATACCTAAATAAATGTGTAATTTATTTTTCGACGAGGTCCAGATTTTGTCTGGATCTCAGAGCTCACTTGTCGGGAATTTCCAAAAATTTGTGTGTAAATATTTAATATTAATATGCTTTATCAGCTGTCATCAATCACCTGACATACGTGAACCTAACGCATCAATCCCTTCTTGTTACGGAACGAAACTCAACGATAATTGAAACATTAATTAACTAACTTAGTTGTCAACCATACCCCTTGATAAGCAAGCTTTTTATGGCTTTCTCGTTCTCCTTACTCATAAAAACAAAGGTCGCCATCCCGAACAATAACAACATAACGATGCAAACATTTTCGCGGAAATGTGAGGTTAGGTAGGACGCGCGGAAAAACTAGCGGTCCTTCGAGCTGAAATTTCCACATTTTCCAATCGTTGACGTCGGGCTTGCGCCCCAGATCAGTTTCAGTGTGCTGGCTCGCACTGACTCAATAATAAATTTGTTAAGACCTACAAATTCTAGTTTCTTTTTTAATTATGTTCAAAAAGAGATAACATTTTCGTGTTTAGTTTTAAAGCAAATTTTCCAAGGTAATACTTTTTTATATTTTTGGTTTTTCTTTGATAATAACCACAATTAATGTTTTGTTTTTTTGGGGGGCTTTACGTAATATTATAATACAGGGTATTTTAAATAGGGTAAATCAAAATTTTATATCAATAAATTTCAATGGATAAAATTTATTTTAGATAAACATAGTATTATTATTTAAAGTTTAATATATTTTGTTTTAGTTGGCCAATTTTGATGATTTTTTTAAGCAATTTGTAGCTAAATTATTTGACTTTTTAGTATCTCGTTCTAAATTAAAAATGAATATACGAGGGAAAACAAAATATTGATATACCGGGTGTGTCTCAAAAGTGGCTCACCCCTATAACTTTTTTATTTTTTCAGATAAAAAATGAGATTTGGTATGTTAGGATATGACATAAATTAGGATTGATTGACGTATTCAATTGTTTTTTACCATTTCCTGTTTCACCGGAAGTGACTACAATTTTTTATTTTTAAATGGCACCCTCGGTTTTTTTTTTACTTTCGATAGAAAATGACATTCTGAATAAAATGACATTAATAAAAAATCGTGATTTAAAATTCAATCTAGAGTGCCATGGCTATGTTAAAAACACTAATTCTTAATCAAGGAGCCTTGGAAAAATATATTTGATCGTCTAATGTTTTTAGTGTCTTATCCTGGTCAGTTAGAAAATGCTCAAATTGTATTTTTAATCATATGTCAATTTTTTTCAAATGAAACGAGGGTGACTCATTAGCATATTTAGAAAAAGCATTTTTTACGAATAATTTGATACCACATACTTGGTATTTCGAGTCAAATTTTCGTTACGAACCGCAAGTTATAATTTCAAATAAACCATATGCGAAAATGACATATGATATGTCATTCTATTGAGAGTGTTATTTTCTATCGTATAAAGTAAAAAAATACCGAGGGTGCTATTTAAAAATTAAAAGTTGTAGTCATTTCCGGTGAAACAGGAAGTGACCGAAAACAATTGAATACGTCAATCAATCCTAATTTATGTTATATACTAAAATACCAAATCTCGTTTTTTTAACTGAAAAAATAAAAAAGTTATACGGGTGAGCCACTTTTGAGTCGCACCCGGTATTTTTTTTGTTTGTTTTTGTATATTCACATAACATTTCCCAAGCTAGACTTTACTGTACCAGATAAAATATGTACTTCTTTAATATGTAAACTGTCCTTGTTGAAATATACGTACAAAATAACATGGACGTAACTTAATTCGAAATAATAACTTGGTATACTTAAATCAGCCGAGCCGTAGCCGCATGTAAACACAAATATTGTATTTTATTATTGTTTAATATATTTTGCTATAAATTGGATGTAATTATTTTATTGATTGCAATTATTGATAATATAAATTACCTATATAAATTTAATGATACAGGTTTAATATTTTTTTCTTCATTATCGTATATTTTTTTGAAATTTTTATGTTGGTTTTATACTGTACAAAGCTGTACTCTTTAAATTAAATTTTGTATATTTTTGCTTGGCGAATTTGTTCTCCAAACTTCGCGAGTTTGTTGAACCAAATTCTCACTCCAAAAATACCATAATATCATATTCTACCGGGTGCGTCTCAAAAATGGCTCACCCCTATAACTATTTTATTTCTTGAGATAAAAAAACGAGATATGGTATGTTAATATATGACATAAATTAGGATTGATTGACATATTCAATTGTTTTTAGTCACTTCCTGTTTCACAGGATATGACTACTTTGATTTTTAAATGACACCCTCGGTATTTTTTTACTATATTCGATAGAAAATAACACTCTGAATAGAATGACATATCATATGTCAACTTTTGACATTTTCGCATATGGTTTATCTGAAATTGTAATATGCGAACATTTGAACGAGAATTTGACTCGAAATACCAAGTGTGTGGTACCAAATTATTCGTAAAAAAATGATTTTTCTAAATAATATGCTAATGAGCCACCCTTATTTCATTTGACAAAAATTGACATATGACAGGATTTCAGCATCTTTTAGGCCAGGAGAAGACACGAAAAATATTAAACGATCAAATGTATTTTTCAAAGGCTCCTTGATTATTAGTGTTTTTGACACAGCTATAGCACACACGGGTATTATTTAAAAATCAAAAGTTGTAGTCATTTCCGGTGAAACAGGAAGTGACCAAAAACAATTGAATATGTCAATCAATACTAATTTATGTCGTATTGTACTATATATACTACAAACCATACGAAATCTCGTTTTTTATCTGAAAAAATAAAAAAGTTATAGGGGTGAGCCAATTTTTTGATGCATCCGGCCACTTTTATATTAAAATAACGTTTTTAGTCTATTTAGCCTTTTTATAAACAAATCATACTAAAATGGGATAAATTGCTAGTAAATACAGCATGCGTCGAAACTAGATATATTTTATTTTTCTCTACTATTGCAACTGGAACACCCGGTATGTGGTGTATTTTGAGATATATAGGGTGGTCCGAATTGTATTTGGAAAACTTCGGCAGCATATTCTACCTATAAGAATAGGTTAAAAAGTTTGTAAATTTATGCCATTAAATACTTCGATTCGGACAGGGTGAAGAAGTTTCATTTTTATTTCGATTTTATCCATATAATTTCTGAACTAATGAAATATTTGGATGAAAATTGGTGTCTACTTGTTTCTTACATCGATAGTTTGATTTTGATGATATGACTCCTACTTGTAGGGGGCGCTACCTACATATTATTTAACTGGTTTGAAGAGTAACTACTTTTCATCAGTACCTGTATAAAACTACTAAGTAAAAAAATAGACATATAGATATTTCCATCGTTTTTTACGTAAAAAAGGCCTGTTAGTAAAAATTTAACGACTAACCGTTTTCAAGATATTTGGCATGTAAATTATATCAATTTTTGTTAATGATGACATGTATTGATTATTTCGATTCCAAATATCTGGAGAATTATTATTCGTAGCAATTTTTTCAAAGAGACTTTTTTAGGTAAAAAACAGCGGAAATGTATATTAGCAATTTTATACAGGTATGGGCGAAAAGTTATTATATACACTTCAAACCAGTTAAAAACTATGTAGGTGACGACCCCTACAAGCGGAAGTCATATTTACATTAAAATTAGATATCACTACTATTTTTATCCAAATATCGTTAGTTCAGACATTTGAAAAAAATCGAAATAAAAATGAAACTTCTACAGCCTGTATCTCCGAAACGAACCATTTGAGAACATACATTTTTACTATAACTCTTTTACTTATTTTTATCTGCAGAATATGCTGCGGAAATTTCCCGAATACAATTCAGACCACCCTGTATATAGTTGTATATGAGAAAATTACATTACTGTATTCTCTTAAACAATGCATCTTTATTATTAGTACTAACTTGTTTGTTGTTGGGATAATCACTTGAAACGAGATTTTTTTTATTTTTTAGATTCTACCCCCCACTCCATTACCAGACACTGTCGGTACTGCGAAACACCGATAACACAATAACATGATTATATCGGCGACTCCTCAATGAGAAATTGTGCGTATAATATTCATATCAAAAAGCCTCGATAGAAAGCCTTGACGACCTTCAATTCAAAAAATGCAATAAACCAGAGCTTTGCCTACGAGCTATTTCCAGTTATATTATTATTTTGCTGTGGTTTCATCAGGTTGGAGGCCCCTAAGTATGGCACTTCGATGTTATAGATTGTTTTTGACGCAAAATCAATCGGTTCTAAGGCCACTGGATCGAGGTCAAGGCGAATTGTTGCTGATAACGAGGCCCGCGGTTGGTAATGAAACGAAATGTCATTACTCTGTCGGTAAGTGTCTTTTTCCTATTATTTTTACAATCTTTCCTGGTTTAATACTATCTGATATCATAAAACTTAATGTTTTAATTAGATCTAATTAAGAGATATTAGCATAGCTAGCATGTGGTTAGGCTTTAATATTTAGATATTACGACATTTATAATTTAAAAATAGAATTAAATATAATATGTATATGCGGTATTTTCACGAAATAAAATAGTTTTGTAAATTTGCAGGATACATTAAAATGTTATAAGCAAATGTTGTATAAAGTATTGTAAATATTTAGAATGCGTAATCGCTGGCAAAATGTAAATTTTTTTGCCTATTATTAATTTTTAAAATATTCTAGAAAATTTTAGTATCCTTTATATCAAGTTATTAGTAAACAAATAATATATAATAAAATCCTTTATAGCTAAAAATAATTTTATAGATTTACGGGGTTTGACCCAAAAATGGCTCACGGCAATAAATTTTTTATTTTTTTTAGATAAAAAATAGAGATTTGGTATGTCAGTATATGACATAAATTAGGATAGATTGACGCATTCAATTATTTTCGGTCGCTTCCTGTTTAACCGGAAATTACTACAACTTTTGATTATTAAATGGCACCCTTGGTATTTTTTTATTTTATTTGATAGAAAATGATACTCTGAATAGAATGACTTATCATATGTCAACTTTTGACATTTTCGCTTAAAAAACCGTATTTTAAATTTTAATCTAGGGTACCATGGCGTTTTTTATTAAAAATTAGTGTTAAAAACACTCATTTTTAATCAAGGAGCCTTGAAAAAATAGGTTTCATCGTTTAATGTTTTTAGTGTCTTATCCTGGCGGGTTAGAAGATGCTCACATCGTATTTTTAATCATATCTCAATTTTTTCAAATGGAACGAGGGTGGCTCATTATTTAGAAAAAGGGTTTACGAATAATTTGGTACCGCACACTTGGTATTTCGAGTCAAATTGTCGGTATGTACCGAATGTTACAACTTGAAATAAACCATATCCGAAAATGTCAAAAGTTGACATATGATATGTCATTCTATTCAGAGTGTCATTTTTTATCGAATAAAGTAAAACAATACCGAGGGTGCCAATTAAAGGTCAATAGTTGTAGTCATTTCCGGTGAAAGTCACCGAAAACAATTGAATACGTCAGTTAATACTAATTTATGTCATATACTAACACGCTAAATCTCGTTTTTTTATCTGAAAATATAAAATAGTTATAGAGGTGAACCACTTTTAAGACGCACGCGGTATATGTTCTTGTAATTGCGATGATAATGAGGGTCTCTATCATAGATATTACATAGAATTTATAATAAACAAAAAACCTACCGTGTTGGAATGTAACCGATGGACAGCCGAACGTAGAGTTGCATAGCTAGATATACAAAAAACTAAGAGTCGATGAAATTAAGATTCCCGATCTAGTTCCAGTTCCAGAGATGCTTCTATTCCCAGAAAATTGAAATGGGGTGCACTCTTTTATGGAGCTAGCAAGAGATTTGAAAGAAAAAAGAATTAGAGCTAGTAACTAAAATATCACAGTAAAACTGCCTCCTCCAGTAGTAATGCCGAAAGGTAGTTCCTCGGTGAGATACTCAAAGCGGTTGGTGGAATTATTTTTAGTCGGTAAGGTATCTCAACCACCCCGACAGTACCACATACGCAGAGGCGCAACTAGGGGGGGGGGCAGGGGGGCTTAGCCCCCCCAGGTGACCAGTACGTTTCGTATAAAATTGGTTTCAACCTCACATCAATAGTATCTTACAGTGGCCTAAGCCCCCCCAAAAGACTTGAGCCCCCCCCAAAAGTGTATGTCTAGTTGCGCCCCTACACATACGGTCTCTGGTTTGCAGATTTTTCCCCACAAAAAGAAATGTAAACAAAACATATATTTCATTAAGACACAAAAATAATTTATTAATTGAAAGCATGACAGCAAATTTTATTTAAATAATAAATAAATAAATTATAGTCTATAAATGTATATCTTCAAAAATAATTCAAAACTTTTTATATGCAAACCTTGCTTTTGAATTTTATACACAATAATTTCTATATTTGCAGTATGTGTTTTAGGTATATCTTAAAATTTTAAATGTATCTTAAAATGGCATGATTTAAAACCTACAAGCAAGCTGTATTTATTGTTTTATTTCCTTTTAAAATTTATTTGGTATATATTAACTGTTAACATGTTGTAAACATGCAAGCCATAAGGCGTTCAAGAGTTGAATTTCATTTTTTTTTGAATAATAATTTTCTTTGACATTTAACAGCATTTTTTTCGCAACAAGGCAATAGAAATACGGACAGTTTCTATTATGTATATTTTATTTATTGGCCGAATTCGAGCTTTAACCCTTTGCTCTGTTTACAACTTCAGATGTAAGCATTGTATGGAAGAGTATTTACTGATATCAAACTATAACAAAGAGATATAATTAGCCCTGAAAATGTATTTTGTGAGACGATGCTAGAAATATCTAGAAGGATAATAATATTTGTGATATTAACAAATTTTGAATTATGTTGTCATATTTGTTTATAATTATCCATTCATGTGAAATCCAAAAGAATCAATGGGATATTTGTTAAACAATTGCATTAGTAATAATGTACCGTATGATCGAAAGAAATCGGCTTCAAAGACGGCTGGGGGATGACAATCGATGATAATTTTGGTGAGATCAGTCTCTAGACTTCATTTACTAAAAATCGACACATGAAGCTTGTTAAAAATTAACAGTAATTATAGAAAGATTAAAAAAAGATCGTTTCCAGACACACAAATCTATATTATTAAAATTAAAATTTAAAAATAAGGCCGATTGGCAGTAAGCGCGATTAAAAAATCAACAAGAGTACGGGTCAAGTAATCACGTCTAGGACTTGACCTCGCCAAAAAATTATCAACGATTGTTATTCGTGTTTGACGCTTTTTTTTATCGTATCGACTTAACTTAAAAATCTATATTATTGTATTCTATTTTTTAATTGTCGTTGCAATCTGATTTTACGCATATTGCAAAGAACCATTGATCTAGTTTCAATATGCTATTTAGTGCCGTTATCACTTTTGGTGCCATCGTCACCATATTTTGTTTTATATTAATAGGTAAATAATATTTAAAAGTCTCAAAAAATTTGTTGTCTGTGAGAAATATTAAATAAAAAAAGCTTTTACACCCATTAGACATTATCTAATTCATTAATATGATTATGTATTATTATTATTATAGTATTACTATAGCTAGAGTTCATATCAATTAAAAATAAACCTTTAGTCACGTGAGTAAACTTGACCAGCACAACGTTGCCCAGTTTTACTTATTTTTTTTAATCAAAATATTTTAGGAAACAAAAATAAATTAATTATAAACATATAAACAATTATTATTTACATCAACAAAACTCAACTTCTTAATAGCACTTAAGGGACATAAAGGACCATTACTACCGCTTTCCCGTTCAAAATATTCTAATAAAGTTGCGATGAGTTTTTTTACGATTATTAAGGTATTTTGTACACTTCGCACTAAAAGAGGTTCTTAAAAGAACAATGTTCGACTGCAAGGGCTGCTATAGTAAACATCTCACACTCTCTATCACAACACTATTTAAACTAAAAACTCCTACCTAATACAAAACTGAAGTGTCAAAACGAATGACAATGTCAGGAAATAAAGAAATAAATGTGGCAACTTGACATTTTAGCAGAGCTACCACCTGCATCCCCAACGGGAAATTTAAATTCCAGTTAGTCTGCTCGGCGCTGAATATGTCCATGGTTGGCAACAATGAATTTAAAAATCGCGCCCCCGATTACTAAAATTTAATTGGTATCAAATATATAAATTATACAATATAGCTTAATAGTTATCGTTACTTTACAGAACACTTTAGTATCTAAAACCTTTATTTTTATTTGGTTTGGAATCTTAGAATTTTGCAATATAAAACTAAAGATAACACCATAATTATAGAAATATAATGTTGAATTAGGATTATCCCTGTTTAATAAAGTGCTTTATCATTTGACCTTCACAAAAATCAAAAAAAACTCGAAGTGACCCTTTTAGTATTTACTATATTTTTTGTCTCTTGTAAAATATGATATATTTTTCCGAAGCTGATTTCCAAAAAAATGTTTTTTAGTCACATCAAGCTTTGGAGGCGAATAAAATGTATTATGCTCTAATAAATAATAATAAATTTTAAATTAATCAACTTCTTCTTCTTCTTTATGTACCGTCTCCATATCGGAGGTTGGCTATCATCATTGCTATTTTGACCTTTGAAGCTGCTGCCCTAAATAGGTCAGATGACGTGACATTAAACCATTTTCGCAGGTTTCTTTTTCCTACAATCTTTCCCTGGATTATGAGTTGCAAAATCTCATACCTTGGACCTCTCATGATATGGCCGAGATATTGCAATTTTCTTTTTATTTTCACTTCCTTGAGGATCTCTACGCTCTTCCTCATTCTTCTCAGAACCTCCACGTTGGTTACATGTTCTGTCCATGGTATTCTCAACATCCTACGGTATGTCCACATCTCGAAGGCCTCCAGTTTCCGCTCGCAAAGTTCGTTGAGGGTCCAAGCTTCCATACCATACAAAAGGACTGGAAATACATAACATTTGAGCATACGAGTTCTCAGATCTAGGCTCAAATCGCGGCTACAGAGCAGCTTCTTAATCTTCACAAAGGATGCACGGACCTTCTCAATGCGAATCTTTATTTCTGAACAATAATCCGCGGTGTAGTCGACACTTGTACCCAGGTAGTCATACCTCTTTACTCTTTCGAGCTCCTCGCCTTCCGGGTACAGATGTTCATTGGGCACTCCAGTTTTAGTGACAATCATGTATTTGGTCTTCTTAACATTGAGTGTCAGACCATATTCTCGACTAGTTGTGATGACGTTATTTAACATATTCTGAAGGTCTTGCATGTTTTCAGCGAGAAGGACTGTATCGTCGGCG